ATGGGTATACATTGCTTTGAGGTCTTTCGTAATCTAGAAGGTAGCAAGGACTTGAAACCAAGTACCACTCACGAAACCTTGACTTTATAATAGCCAGGGTTACGTTAATATAGACTCTTGAGCCCTGTAACATCCATCTTGGCTTCTCTGTGGATCATTTATGGTTGACATAACTCTAATTGTATAATTTGTCGATCTCGTGCCATAATATACATACGAGGCACTCAGTGGAGATCAAGAACAACATAACAAACTTTTACGGACCCATCGGTTTTGTACCCGAAGGTCTAGAAATCAGCGTTATATGGACCCATTGTAGAGGCCGCTGTCTCTACCTGTAGTAATTCTGTCTTCTAGGAGGTCTAGTCCAGATCCTGTAATTCTATGCTTTCCAGCTGTTGGTTACAAGGATACTGTTCCTTGCTGCTGTTGTCAACATATTGACACTAATAACAGAAATGATCACGCGGTGTTTTATCGTGCGGACCAGGGTTGAGAGTACCCTGTCACCAATCACGATTGCCATTCAGTGCACGAAAGAAAAGTATCTTGCAAACCAGGAGGCGATTTGAGTAATCTCTGTATCCACATATGCCGAATTACCTACCTGGAAACTCTTGCCAGGCTATGACTCTTTTCTGTCCAACTGTTTCATAGCCAACAAAAGGAGCGTACGCAGATATCTTATTCTTAAAAATTTTATGATAAACATATAGGAATCCAGAAGTAAATTTGGCTCAGATTTCGTATCGTGATTTATAGCTAATGAAATACCATTTTCAAGAACTCTGCTTGATAGAATCCGATGGCCAATTATGGCAATATATATTTAATATAAGAAAATAGGAAAAGAAAATAGACTATTAGGCCTGAGCCTAGAACCCAACTGCTGCTGACAACTGTATATCTAGCCATATACTTATAATATAGATGATCTATATAAGCTTGTCATGGGAACCGTGACGTTGTAGATCCGACCCTATAGTATTATTATTATTAAGGCTGGGTAAATTTGAGGTTGGGGATAGCAATATCTGGATTGAAACTTGATTTGTAGCATATAAGACCCGCCGCGTCACTCGCCTAATCTGATTAAGATTTAATATTATAAGATACAGTAATAGCTTGACCACATTTTGATTTGTAGCATATGCGACCCGCCGCGTGACTCCACTGATTATACGAAGGTTTAAAGTTCACGGTACAGCCGGGCTGTATCAGAACCTAGATCGGTCTCCGACCGTTGTTTTGTCTTTAATACTGATTGAGATGAGTCCAGCACTGATGCCGCCCAGATGCAGTTTCATGGATCGTCACATGCTCATGTGGCTATGTCGATTTTGAAAATTATCAATATACAGCCGGGAATGACTCTTCGGAGACCTGTTCAGGTGCAAAGACCTAGTGGTGAAATATGATCTGTTAATGATCCAGGAGAGCCCGTGACCTTAACGGGAAGATCATTAACTGAAACCAGTAGCAGAAGAGATATTCCGGACCATGGAAGAGAAGGCTGAAGGAACATCCCACTTGGTAGGAATCGCTAATGCGGAACTAGCTCAACCAGGAGCACGATTACGTGATGCTGTACAGACACTTCAAACATGCCGTGTGACTTATATTCCTCATACAATCAACATTTTAATACAACGCCTAGGTAAAGTTGCGACGAGGAGGATGATGAAAGATCTATACTGCAAATGTTGGAGTTCGTAGTATCTGCACGAAGACCGCTTAGTGCACCACCACTCGCGGTGGTCTGTCTATTTAGAGTGGGTCGTTGGTTTAGTGAGTAGTCACCAACTCCGCTGCTTGAAGATGCACTGGCTAAATCTAGTTCTCTCTTTCGTCACTCGAAGCATAGTGGTTCCAATAGCAGAGTCATCAGCCCCACATCTTTGGCGCTTACGAGACACTGACCGACCCCGGGTATGGCTTATCAGCAGGCTCGCTGCTGTTATGTTGGATACATGCCAAATTGATCTAAAGGAGTGTAACCCTGTTTGAAGGATTTACTACATTAGTTAAGAGTTTATAAATTTACTCTTTTTCCTATCTTCCTGTCTCTACTGTGCCTCTTGGGGTGTATTTTCCGCCTCTCACCATTCTCCCATTACTGCAGAGGACTGGCTCACACTTCGCTTCGCGGAGTAGGCCTTCTTTGCCAAGGCACTGTCTCATATGAATATGGCACAGATAAAGGTCTTGCCGAGTATGATAGCCAGAGGTACCATAAAGTCGGTACTAGGATTGTGGCCGGACCCACAACGGCCCAATATACCCAGAGTTGCTCTGATACCCCCCATTCCCTGTCGCCGAATTTGAAGAACGTTGTACTAAAGAATGCCTGCCAAAATTATAAGCACCTCAGAAGATTTATATATAAGACCAGACATACAGAGACGAATGTCGCTGGCAGAAATATCATAGTAAGAAGTGCGATTGACTTCATTACTCTATTATCCTGCCGAGTGATCAAGTGGTATGCCTACAGCCATCAGCTTCAACTATCAAAAGCAAAGAAATGATGGGGCTGTGTTAAATTACCAGTGTAATCTCTGCTTTAAGCCTCTCATGGTTGGAGATTGAGCGTAGGTGAAGGCTCTTTAGAAGTTGGACTTGAAAGGATAGATACTCTCGTGCCTGGTTTTGGTAACTCTCCTTCGCTGTTGAATCAGAGCAGGAGTGGGCAAATTCGTGCTGCTGCGTAATCCTCTTCACAGTTTCAGTTGCTACTGAAAGAACTTCCATGATATGGATTGTGTGTCTGGATAAATCATGCAATTTCTCGAAATTGAATCCAGACACTGTTCTGCTCTATATGGGATTGATCAGTTGTTTCAAATCAATATAGCGCAATAGAATTACATACCTCCTCAAATTTGCGGATTGGTTCTCGAGAACGCCACACTGATTGATCATATAATCTTATTATTTGCGAAATCAAACATATGTGCAAGGTTAATGGATGAGTAAGGTCAGGAGGATCCTCTCGCAGCATAGCTTCAAGCATGGCCTCTAGCCTTTCCGGAGTGCCAACACATAGCACGACATGTTGACCTGAAGATCTCCACATGCTAAAGAACCTCATCTCATACCATAAATAGTCCTTTCCATAACGTCTTTGCTTCATCTCCCTCTCCGTAAGGACCATCTTCACATAGAACTGAAACCATGTGCCTAAATGCAGTTTAGATATGGTCTCATAAGCTGATTTGGAAAAACTTACTATAGCTTTCAAGTCTTCCCGTTTCAGACTGATTTGGGCTGCAACCAAAATAGCCATTCATATCTTTGCATGTATCAGTACTAAGGAAACATGGAATACCTAAGGATTTCAAGATATCCTCGCGTTCAGTTCTCCATCTCGACCAATTCGTTGTCTCAAGAAACCTATTTATTATGATTCTTGTGAACCAACTGCATACTCGAGGACTAGCAATGGGCTGCCTTACACGTAGCATTTGCCATGCAGCAAGGGATTCTTCGTCCCTCAGCCTTAAATTCATCAACTATGGAAGAGGGGCCCACATTCAGACTAAGAGAATTTGTTTGGCTTAATCTCCAAACTCCTGAACCTAACTAATTATCAGTAAGAATAGCAGTCTTTAGGTGGCTATCAAGACCTACCAAAGTGAAGAACATTGAACGAATTTTTATCCATAATAAATATAGTAGACTTTTATACACGATGAAGTTAGAAAGGGAATCGGTAATAGGAAATAATCAAATGTATGTATCACTAAATGTAGAAGAGCCTTTTAGAAATGATATATATCTCAGAAGCGAGATTGCCAGAATACCTTGCAAAGTAATCATATAGTATGCGATATATTGCTTTAAGTAGTGCTCTAGTAGACCAAAAACTTGGCTTTCTTATATATCTGTCCCAATCGGCCATGAGCCATCGTGCGAAATCCGGATTGTCCGCCAATTGATACGGCTCAGAAGGATGACTCTGGTACAATATGATGTCTACGTCAAGCGAAGAATAAGAATCTCTGGGTGGTACTCAATAGACGAGTAACATGTGATACTGAACTCAAGATACGAAAATAACTCTTAACTGAGTAAGTAGAACTTTTTAACTAGCTATACAACCCACAAGGGTTGACCTAAAATTTGGCTATACCACTCTCAACATGCTTTCAATCCTACCATGGGTAATATCCGTTTTTTAAGCTTTTTCTAGTCTGCTGGGTATGTTGCGGGGTTGATGTGAAACATATTTTTGTATGAACCTTATCTCTATTTGACCGTGTCTGGGTCCTAGTCTAGTTTCATTGATCGACGCCTAGATATTGCCACTCAGCTTTGTGAACATGAAAGTTGAGTTTAGTCCACAGACTATTGACTTACATCATCCGGCTCCCGTGTGATAGTGATGTTTAGTATTATTATTCGAGCTATAGACTCTCATCACACCACCCTTGTCGTCCTACCAGGGTGGACTCAGTGCATGACGCGAAGGTTTGCAGGAATGACAATAACGTTTGCAAAATGGAAAGGCCTAGATTAATATGTAAAGATTACTGTTACATATCAGGCTCGTGTCTCACATGAGCCATGAAATGTTTACATCATCTATCCGTCAATCAAACCTTCAATTCAATCATGGATCGTCACACTACGAAGTTCTGCTGAAGAAACTTATTAAAGAGTCACTGATCTGTCAGGCATCTTTCATCAGTGAGGTGAACCATATCATTGAATGAAAGATGAAGGTTTTCTGGAAGGGCCCTGCATGAACCAAAGACCAGACAGTAAGATTCTCTGACCCTATTGAGCTGTGTTTATTACAGAGCAATTCAGCATTCAAAACTTCAGTCCGAAGAATGTCTTCTGGGGAGCATCAATATTAATTTATATTATAGTCTCCTGTGGTAAGGTTTAGTCTTTTGACTTTGGAGTCCAGAGGCCAATACTTAAGAGCCTTACGAAAACAGTCAAAAAGTCCCTAGGTAGACTTTTCATGAATACGCATCACCATGAACCCCACTATGAAGAAGTTGGAAAGCCCTGATCTGTACCATGTTGGCTGGATTGCTGCTCTTTACCTCGAGAGGACAGCAGCACTCCTCATGCTTGACGAGGAGCATGGAACACCAGCCAACTTCGAGCAACGCACAGATGACAAGAATTCTTATTCCTGGGGTCGCATTGGGGAGCACAATGTGGTTATTGCTTCTCTTCAACCTGGGTTATATGGGATCGTGCCAGCTGCTGTCACAGCGCAAAGCATGCTATTGTCTTTTCCCAAAATCAAGATTGGTCTTCTTGTTGCAATTGGAGCTGGTATTGCTAGGCCAGAAAAAGACCGTGATATCCGACTTGGCGACGTGGTTGTGAGCCAACCAAGTGGAACTAACGGTGGTGTGATCCAGTACAACCTGGTAAAAGCAAAAGAAAACCATTTGGAACGCAAAGGTTTTCTTAACAAGCCACCAGCCGCTCTCCTAAACACGTTAGGCAAATTACAGGCTGAGCATGAGCTTCCTGGACGTTCACTTGTTGCTTCCTTTCTCGGGGAAATAGGGAGTCAATATCCCGAGATGGACCAGTATCTTTATCAAGGGACAGAAAACGACAAGCTGTTCAATTCCACTGATAGGCATCTTGGGGGCACTGATTGCAGTAGATGCGACAAGGCTTATCAAGCAATCCGACGAAGTCCACGACGGTCTACCGCACCAAAAATTCACTACGGGACCATTGCATCTGGTGACATACTTATGAAAGACGGGGTTTTTAGGGACTGGATAGTCGAGCAGCTGCAGCTAGAAGACTGCTTGTGCTTTGAGATGGAAGCTGCTGGCTTAATGAACGACTTTCCGTGTCTGGTGATAAGAGGCATTTGTGACTACGGAGACTCCCACAAAAATGATCGATGGCAACGGTATGCCGCCGCTGCTGCTGCTGCGTATGCTAAGGAGTTTCTTCGATATATTCCGGGCAGGGAAATGGAGAAAGCCGAGAAAGCTACTGATGTCATGAACAGAGGTCAGTTTAATTTTTCCTGCAAACAAACCTTCTAAAATAAAACTTGATATTATAGGGCCACAGCAGACAGAAAGCCACGGGAGTGTCGGCCCCCCTCAGAGAGCATACGGCACTCTTAATCCACAGCTAGAGGCAGCCAGCATTCAGGCGGTCTCACAGAGTATATTAGCTCTATGCCATCCTTATACTGAGCATTCAAAGTCTAACAATGTTGAGCTAGTGTCTACAGCCATTACACAACTTTGCCGGGAGATGGGCAACCTAGTACACCAACTAGAGAGAAACCAAAATGGTATGACCAGCTTTCATGTTATGAGATCCTGTTCTGTCATTGACTTATACATACACATATAGATATTTCATGTTGTGCAGCTTGCTGCCCAAGGTATGATGATGATAACAAGGATCATATTATAAAACAGGGAAGGGTATCTTCGTCACAAGAGGTCTCTGGGTGCCCGAATAGCAATATGGAGAAGCTAACCTGTTTCAAGAAAACTCCCAAAGGGTTCAAATAAATATAATCATTTCCCATGTATTTATTTCCTTGCTTTCTAGACTGATCAGAGGTGCTTTCCTTACAATTGAGCAGTCATATTCTACAATTGGAACCTATTCACACTGTGATGGCGAGCGGCGTTCGGTAGCACGTGTGACGTGGCCAATAAACGTGATGTAGTTTTGTATTAGATCAAATCACGGTATCAATAATCATCCTAACCATGACAAACCTATATAATATTAATGTATTATAATAGGATCTACTTGTCAGGATAGAAGACCTGTTGACTAGATAAGGAATCAGCCACGTGTTAAACCCTAGGATCACTTCTCTGTCCCTGTTAGCTTAGTCCTGTTGCTATACGTATCGTCGAACTATGTCAAGAAGGTATTGACTGATGACTATCTGAAAGATAACTTGGTCATAGATAAAAACAGAAAAATAATACTAAATAATATTATATAATTTATTTCTAAGTAAATACAGACGAGTATTATGAGAGCCAATTAAATATGTCTTATTTAGTGTATCTAGACTGGAATATCGAACATGAGAAGGAAAAGAAGGAAGTATAAGAAAATATATATAAATAATAAAAATAAATAAATAAAATAAAATAAATAGAATTATATTATATAATCTAGTTATATGCCTCTGAATAGTGAATACTGCTTATTTTTTTATATTTTTTATTAGAATTAGCTATTCTCAGCTAGCAAAATATTATTATCTTTATAATTTAAATATAAATTTATTAATCTTAGTTATAGTAAACTATTATAACAGTTATTTAGAAGAACTAGAATAGATAGAATTCTTTATATAATAATCTTATAATTAAAAAAACTATTCTTAAAATTTCCAGTAAAATATTATATATAATTTATTTTATTTAATATAAATTATTTAGCTCTGTATTACAGGCAGTTGTAATATAAATAATTAATTAAAATTTTTCAATTTTTTATTTTATTTAATTATTAACTTTAATACAAATAACAGTATTCCGGATTTAGTCAGATAAGATGTTTAATAAGTTCTATAAACATAATTTCTCAGAATAATCTAGTAGGGAAATCTCCACAACGGGACAACATAGTAGGCCGCTGGTGTAAGTTGCCGGGAGTTGTGGCCAGTTGCATAACAGTTCCTAATGGTTGCTGACTAAAATAAATCATAAGCATTCTGTTATACTGTATATAATAGTTATACCAGTATTTGAATATTACTTTAAAACTATATTCAAGAAAATAACAAGAGATTAACTGTTTGAAGCTCATTTTATAGTTATTAACTACTATTAAAAGTCTATTACTATTCTATCTCTAATTTATTTACAAAGAATTATATCATTATTTCTCTTTTATATTGAGTGAGTTCTCTATAAATTATTTACTAGTATTTTACTGCTAATTTACTGTTATTTTATTTTTTTTTATATATATTATATCTTTCTCTCTTCTTACTTTCTTATTCTTTTTTTTTATATTACATTTTTATTTTTTTCTCTTTCTTTTTTCCTCGCTTATTTTATTTTCCTATTTTTATTTTTTTTATTTCTATTTTTCCATTCTTCTCCTTCTCTAATTAAAGTATAATAATTAAAGTAATAATTAATTAAATCAGAGATAAACTGGAAGACTTTTGCAGATAATACAAGAAGATAATATTAATATAAAAAAAATAAATAATAAAAGCAGCATAAAATCATTTCTAATAAATAATAATATAGTAGAGATGACAGCCGCACAGAAACTGATTAAAAAAGTTAAAAAGAGATTATAAAAATTACTGAAATTTAATTTTAAACATAATTAGAGAAAGTGGTTACTTTCTGACCTAATTAAATTTTATTAACTCAAATTTTAGAATTATCTAGTAAAAGATCTGACTGTTAATTAAAAATACGGAACCGGGCTTGCCCGGATCCAAGAACTTATAATTAAAAAAGAAATATAAAATATTGCTAAATACAGTTATTAATATATTAATAAAACAGAATAAAATTTGAATGAATATCTTGTTTATTTTCTGTATAATATAAGATTAGAAAATATACAGAGACTGGTAGAAGTGTTTTATTAAAAAAATCTTTCTAAAAATATTATAAATATAATAATATAAATTTTAAAGAATATTTTAATACAGATATATAATCCATTGCAGATTAATAAACTAAGTAATAATAGAACTATTTTCAGAATAATTCTACTAAATAAGAATTCAGAAATATTTTATAAAAGATTTTTACAGCTGATTCCAGTAATTAAAAAATAATAGAATTATAATCTACTAAAATATATAAAATTAGAATATAATAAGCAGCTAAAACAGAGACTGATTCTACAGCTAAGAATAAATCAGATATAAAAAAGATTTTAAAATTAATATCAGATAGGGAATCCTTAGTATTATTACTGTTATTATTTACAGATATAATTAATAATAAGTTTTTAGATCTGTTAGAAATACAGCAACCACAAATCCTAGTCTAGAAGTATAAACTATTAAATAACTGATAAAAACTGATTTCTAAATATCAGTCAAAGATATTTAATTTTAAAAATCTATTTTAGATCTATGTCTGTATAGAAACTGGTTTATAATTATTAAAGTCTTAAATTATAGCTCAGACAGAGAAGATAATCACAACTATTGAAAATATTAAAAATAATAAAAATACTGAAACTGCTGAAAGTATTAAAACTGGTAAGATTAATAAAATTATAGTAAAAAAAATTTAAGTATATAAAGAAAGAAATAGATATTTAAAAAATATTTAATAATTATATATTTGAATTAAATATATACTAAGCTGTAGAAAATCTGCAATGGTCTTTTAATAATAATATAGATTTAAATAATCTACTTATATAATTAATATTAAAGAATTATAAAAGAATCTTGGTATATAAAAAATATTAAAAATATTAATTTACTATTTATAAGAAGACCTGCAGGAACCTGCATATTAAAAATCTAATAAATCTCTGTATAAAAAAAAGCTATATAATCAGGAACTGAAATTCTAGTAATCTGTATATATTAATTATATTATCAAGATTATATAACTTAATTTACTGTATGAAGTGATTATTACAGATATCATTAATATTAGAAGAATATAAAAGACTATTATATTTTTCTTATATGTAAATATTCTTCCAGAAATGTGCAGAAGACTTTTACAGCTGATATAATATAATAATTAAATAAATTTAAATATAAACTTACTGCAGCTGAGAGAAATAAATCAGATTCTTTAAAAAATTATTTTATAATTATTATTATTCTACTCCATCTCATCGAGCAGTAGATGGATGAGATTATATTAATAACTAAGAAATTCCAGATATTATTTTACTATAATAATACCTACCGGCAGACCGGAAACTATATCAAAAATAAACTAATAAAGAAGTATAAGATTTTTAAAAACAGATTAATAAATATATATATTATTATAATAATCTTCTATTAAATATAAAAGACCTGCCACGGCCCTCAAATAATAAAATCTTAGTATATTAATAAAAAAAAGTTATTATATATTTTTAACTAAAATATATCAGTATAAAATATATATTATAAATTCTGTTCTACTTAAATTTATTCTTCTGGTGGAGTTGGACGTAGTCCTTACAGCAGATAAAAAAAGATTTTAGTATTTAAAAATAATGATTTTTTAATAATTGAGAAATTTATATATAAAATAGTAGAGAGTCTCAATAACAGCAGCATGATTAGTATTATAAATATAGATAAACAAAATAATCTAGCCAATATTTATATTAGTAATAATATTCTAAGATTTACTGAAGATACTATATATATCAGTCTGAAGATAATCAGTATTAATATAAGATAATATTTTATTGATACAGATAATATAAAAGAGATATATATAAATATAAAGATAGAAATCTTTTTTATTAATATAGATACAGACAGTTTCAAGAGTCTTAAAGAACAGCTGCTCGTACTTAAAAAAAATAAGATAAATATTAAAAAAAAGTCATTAATATTAATCTTTTTATATTCCAGATTAAAGATATATATCTTAAATTCAGGAATAACACAGTTGAACCGGGACTTAGAATAAAACTGTTATTTAAAAATTATATCAGTTATCTAACTTATCTTTATTTTTGTGTTATATTATATCTAATAAAAGTTTTTTTTATACAATTATATTCATTTTGTTCTTACAGTAGCAGTAGTATCTATTTTAATTATTAAAAATATAGCAGCTGTTTTTTTTATAAAAAATAAGATTATAGTTATACTGCAAAAAACTTCTATAAATAATTTATTAATAATTATAAATTAAATAAAAAAATATAAAAGACCAGCAGATATTAGAAATAATATAATCAGCTGGAAGAAAAATTAGTAATAATATAAAAATTTATCAAGAAAATATATAGTATAGAATAAGAGACACAAATATATATCTGTATTAATAAATATATTTTAGTATAAATAAAATCATAGATTCTGACAACAGCTGTTTGTTTATATATTATAAATTAT